AACATTCAAAATCTTGACCTTAAGTTCCTTGGCAAGCTTTATTCCTACCAGCAACGCTTCATACTCTGCCTCATTGTTCGTGGCTGCGAATTCAAGCCAAAACGCTTGGCTTAAGGCTATACCTTCTGGCGTCTGCAGTTTGATCCTAATGCCTGCACCCATCTGATTTGAGGATCCATCAACGAAGAGTTTCCATAAGCAACTACGAAGATCCTCCTCCACGTCCTCTGAATCACATTCAAGTAAAAAATCTGCCACCGCTTGCCCTTTGACTGCTGTTCTAGGTTCGTATGTGATATCAAATGAGCTTAACTCTATGGCCCACTTCGTCATTCTTCCTGAGAGATCTGGTTTGTGCAGGAATATCCAGTTCCTTATCAACATTATTAGGGGTAGAACCGGTCTGACCCTCATCCGAAACACGATCGGCGTAACCCTCTCGGAACCCCTGCATATCTGAGGGCTCAAACTCTAGAAAATCGAGCATGCAGAGCTAGCATACCACCGTTTACCCTACTGATGGTATCGAGTAAAGCGTTGCGCTCGTCCAAGGCCCTTTTCTCAAAGGCCATCCGAGCGGATTGCTCATCACTCAGAAGGCGTAGCAGTTCTTCCTTTTCAGCCTTAAAGGATTCCCGCTCGGTATGCCAGACACTCTTTTCAAGTTGCAATGCATTCCTCTCATCCTGAAAAGAGTCAGTCTCCTTCCTTAGCGAATCCCTCTCCTTTTCAATCTTACCAAGCTGAACCATCAACCCGGTCTTCTGAGCAGCCAAATCATCGTTCTCCTTGTTCGTTGCATTAAGGCTGTCAGAAAGCGCGCGGACCTTGGCATTCACATGCTCAACTTGTTTTTACATAGCCATCATCCCGTACAGGGTCTGTAGAGATATGCAGGACAACTGGTTAAGCCGAGCAGATGGTTAGAAGAAAATAAGTGTAAAGAGTGTGTAAAGACTAATTGACTAAGGGGCAGAAGTTACCTCCATGGCGGATAAGGGAAATTGGTTGAACACTTCCCTCTTAGACAGACCTTTGGCTACCTCAATGTCCTTGGGAGTCCACATGCTCCTGTAGTAAGCCATTGCGGTCTGACCATCTTTGAACATGGTCTCGGTCGGTTTAATAGACGATCCGTCTGTTCGAATGAAGCGAGGGTTCCATGGCGCCGTTCCTGAAGCGGAGGCATGCCCAGAAGGGGTAGGGGGCCTAGTCTGAGGAGGTCTCGCTAGGGATATCACATTCGGCCCAGAGGGCCTAACCCTCTGAAACAAAGGAACGTCATCGATGCTGAGGGCACTATCAGGTTGGTGCCTTTTTCCTCTGGCCTTTTCCCGTGCGGAAGCAGTAGTAGAACCAGGAGGATTGTTGACAAAAGGGGTAACGTTCGGACTGGTAGTCACTGTGTTAGCGACCGGGTCAGCAGCCGTCACGGATGGATTGGTGGAAGGAGTGGTATCAGAAAGGGTAGCAGAGGAAGATGCTGAAGCCGGTGAGGAATTTGATGCAGGGGTGATAGCAAGCCTAGGGGCAGTTTTCTTCCTACCGAAGAAAGGGATCTGGTGTTGGCTCATTGTCTTGCCGAGGACTGAGATATCGAGGAGATTGTCTGAGGTGAGGAGGTCCGAGCAGGAGGGAACGTTGGTCAGAACGTACCGCTTCAGGTAGTTTTCCCTATCCCTACACACACCGTAGCTCAAATCATCACAAGGAATGCCTAAGAAATGGCACAAGAAAGTACAAAAACGAGGAATGCAAATCTCGCAAGGACAGTCACTCTTATGGTTTTTATATTTCTTGTAAAAAGAGACAGAGCACTCTCCAAAAGTGCTCGGGATAGGGAAATCCTCCGCAGCTGGAGAGAACCAGGCTCCCCTAACCCTAATTATATTTTTCCTCCAGCCCTTCTCGGATTTGATTTTATCCGTGCAGATGGACCTCTTCTCAATGGGAAAAAAGCGGTAACACGGTTCATCAATTCTGATCTTGCTGACCTTGTAACAGAGGAGAAGATCTACGAGGTCCAGATCCAGACCTCTGTCACGAATCAGGAGTAGCATAACAGACAAAATCCTAAGGAAATTGGGGTTTACTTGCAAAGGGGAAAGATTTAGCTTGTTGAAAACATAGCAAAAGAAAGGATGCAAAGGAAACCTAAGGAGATTAAGATGGAGGAGTGAAAACAGGACCTCGCCGGGAAGAAGGCCAGCACCGATTCTAATATTCACCTCTCGGGGCAGTTTCGAATTTCTACATCGTCAGGGAGGTGAAGTTTCATGTGAAGAACGTCTAGATCTACTGTCATGGTGAGAATGAATGAAGATTCCGAGGAGGAGAAAGAAGTCTTCCAAAAGAAAAATGCAAATGAAACTAACCTTAGAGAGTGAAAACGGCAGAAAGTACTGCAAGGCCACTGGAAGGAGGATCTTTTGCAAGAGATCGCTGGAGAGGATTCGAACAACAGAAAGTGAGATGGAGACGGTAAAGAAGATTGATGGAACATCTATGAAGCTTATAAAGACAAGGTGAGCCTAAGGGCCGAGGAGTTAGGAAAGCGATGAGTTTTTTGAATCTCGAAACGCCGACCCCTAAATCTAACCGTCCATTCTCCCACACGATCTTCTCGAGCCGTCAGGTTATCATTAGCAGCCTTTAATAATTACCCCCTAATCAATAAGGGGTAATTATGGGGGCAGTTGAGGATACAGCAAGTGGCATGGGCCGGATATAGTTCGCTGGAACGGGATCGGGTCGAACAATTGAAGTAGGATCCATGCCAAAGCGCCCCGGAATGGGCCGAACTTGGGGGATCCACCGAGGAAGATCAAGCCCAAAAGGAAGAAAACTTTTGAATATAGGCTCAATGTAATCAGTTAACAACAATAATGGTAATGGCCTATAAATAGACCATTACAGGTGGAAAATAGAAAAGAGAGGATTCTAAAGAGAGAGAGAGAGAGAAAGAAAGAAGAAATAAAATCTTGTATCTTCAGTGTATGAACACATTAGAGGAAATGGTCTATGATGGGCCGGTGAAGACGGACATCAGTGATCGGGTTGAGAAGGTTGAAGACGTCACCAGTAATGCGCTTGCATTGGTGATGAATGCTTCCCCCGAGACTGTTACGGCTCCATCACCGTGATGGAGCTATGTTGACCGTTGGATCATGACTCGTAAATGAGATTTCTTATTAGTAGTATGGTAGACTTTTTAATATATTATGGAAGAGAGTAGGTGACATTAATATTTAGTTGATTATTTACCCCCAAAAAGAAAAAAGTCTTTAGTTGATATGTGGATTGGAAATGCTATTTTTCTCGAGTTGGTGAGTTATTATTCAATTTGTGTGTGCTTTAACCCTTATTTCATTTGCTTAGTTACAATAAATTTTTACATGGTTTATGACTTTATGCTAATCTCACGTTGAAGTTGGTTGGTTTGTTTTTGCAAAATTACTAGTTTTGATTTTTGTTCATGCGGCCTCATGTGATTTGTTGATTGATAAGTTGTTATATATATATATATATATATATATATATTCAATCTAAATTTCGTTATTACAGTTCTTTTGGGTGCAAAATTAATCCTCACAAACTTTAGTTTCAGACATTGTATAAGTCCGGGAAGAGACTTTACCCAATGCTCACATTTCGTTTTTCTTATGAATGAAGTGGTAATTAGTATTATTATTATTATTATTATTCGCTATTGTATAATTTTAATTTTTTTTAAAATTAATTTCTACAATTATTAGTTAATTTCATTAAAACTTAATTATTAGTTAAATATATATACCACAGAAACCTTGAAAGTACAGAAATTTACAAAGTACAGAAAATTTTAGAATGAATCAAATTCTTTTCTCACACTATTAAAAAAAATTGTAGGGGTCTTGCACTAAGGAAATAGCTAAAATTAGTTGGAATTAATAATATAAGGAAATAAAAATATTAGGAATATTTTAGAAAATTATAAAATAATAATTTTAGGCCGGCTTACTAGAAAACGGAAATTTAATATGGGTTTGTTATGCAACTTGAAATATGTATTCCAAGAAATATGGGAGTATATAATTAGTTGATTTTAGAACAATTTATAAGTTTCCAATTTAAATTGAATATGCATATTTAAATTCTAATAAAGGTGATATAATTGATTCTATATTGATTAATTCCGTATTGGATTCAAATCAAATATTTCTATACCAATAAAATTAGGGGTTCAAAAAATTTGATAAATCAAAAAATCGAACTAGAACAAACTGAATGATTTGGGCTAATATTATTATTATTATTTTTTAAAGATAAAATAAGGGATTACAAATATCCTGAGAAAGGCTACAATAAACAAGCCCAGCCCATAGGCGGCCCAACACTAGAATAACTAACAACAAACAAAGAGTAAAGTTATGAAATTGTAATTTTTCGGTTCGGTCTTGATTTGGGGTCTTGTTCGACTGGTCCGACCCGAACCGTCATATAACTTATATTATATATATATATATATATATTCTTTTCAACTTCATAGTGATTAGTGAACTAAGTCTATATACTTTTAGCCATAGCAAAAAATAATTATGATAGCTGGGACTTGAAAAATTAGAAATAAGGAATGCCGTATTTTTTTCCTTGTGGTCATCTGGAAATAATTATGATAGCTGGGGACTTGAATGCTATATTTTTTTCCTTGTAGTTATTTGGTCAATGTCTATTTGTTTCTTCCACAAGTGCTTGATATTATTGATAATACATATATACTTGATTGTCATCTGGTCTCTAAATTAACTATTCCGGTTTTTCGTGGAATTATGGTTGGATCTAGTTTCAAAAAGAGTGGAACCGTTATAAATGGTTTAGTCCCAAAAAACTTTCAATCTGATCCAAACAATGTGCACCCCTAAATAAAATATATTGGTGAGGGTATAACAGTAATTACAGCTAAGGTCATGAGCCTACTTAAACTCGAACCATTCCTTTACAGACTTGAAATTCTAGCAATGCAAAGCTTTCTAACGATAATGGAAAAGCTAAGTTCATTCTCTCTCCTATGTTTTCTTTCTCTAGCCATACTCCTCCATGTCCAACCAATCTCAGCGGTTGAATCTCCCAATTCTGAACCCAACAAAGCCACAGATTTCATCCGTACGAAGTGCAACGCAACTTCATACCCTGAGCTCTGCTACACCTCGCTCTCCGGCTTCGCCAACGCCATCAAGGAGGACCCGGCTCGGCTGGCTAAAGTCGCCATAGCCGTCAGCCTCTCGAAAGTCAAGCACATGGCCAACTACGTCGCCAACATCTCCCGCCAAGCCGACAAGGGCGGCAACCGGCGACTCGCCTCCGCCCTCGACGTCTGCTTCGAGGAGTTCGGCGGTGCCGTCGACGGGATTCGCGACTCGCTCAGGCAGATGAAGCGCCTCGGCCGTCCCGGCCAGTCGCAGTCGCTGGGGTTCCTGATTAGCAACGTGCAGACGTGGATGAGCGGGGCGCTCACGTGCCAGGACACGTGTACTGACGCATTAGGGGAAATCGACTATGATGGGCCGGTGAAGACGGACATCTGTGATCGGGTTGTTAAGGTTTATGACGTCACCAGTAATGCGCTTGCGTTGGTGAATTCTTTCGCTGAGACTGTTGCGGCTCCGTGATGGAGCTTTGTTGACCGTTCGATCTTAACTACTAAATGAGATTTCTTAGTAGAAATATGGTAGGTTCTTTAATATACTATGGAGAGTAACATTAATATTTAGTTGAATATTTATCCAAAAAAAGAAAAAAGAAAAAGTATTTAGTTGATGAGTGGACTGTAAATGCTAATTTTCTCAAGTTGGTGAGTCATGTTACAATTTGTGTGCGCTTTAACCCTTATTTCAGTTGCTTAGTTACAATAAATTTTTTCTTGGTTTCTAGTTTGGTTGGTTTGTTTTTGTAATTTTTTCTTAACCGAGATCGATCATCTAATAATTTTTTAGAAGTTTATTTTTTATTTTTTATGCGGCCTTACTTGATTAACCGAATTACTAGTTTTGGTTTTTGTTTTGCTCCGCCTTTTCCTTTTTTTACCCCCCAAAAAAAATAATAATAAAATAAATAAATAAATAGTTGTTAAATTGAGATTGTGATTTGTTTGAGTTTGAATATTCAAAGTAGGTATATAAGTGGTTAGGTTTCTAATTAATTTATTACTCAATTTTATACTTCTAAATTAAATAATTGTGATTTATAGTAAGATTTAGACATCAATTAATTGAATAAGTTTCACTTAAAACGACTTATAAATATTTTCAGTGTAAAGTGCAAAAAATATATAAAAAATTTGCAAAAAATACCTTATTTAGTATATGTATAACATTTAAATAAATTAGTCCATAATATCTATTGTTTCAGAAAAAGCCCAAAATACCACTGTTTTTTTGTTTTTATTGTCTCATAATCTTATAATTAATAATACCGAAATTTTACTTTTGCACCAAAAGAATTGTCTAACCAACCAAACATTCAATTATGTAAATATACAAAAGAAAATAAACGTACCAACAACTTTGTTATGTCACAAACAAAAGTTTGAATTTGTATTTTCTATTTGGATCTTCCATTCTGTGTGATGCATATATAGGATGATAAAATATACAGCTTCTTTGGCAGGGCTCTAGTTTAAACCTTGTCATGCTATTCGTACCTTAAATCTTTCTCTTTTGGATTTTCCATTTTGTTGAGACTCGAGAATGAGACTGAAGAATCTTCCACGATGTCAAAACTAATAGCCATTTGTATAAATGTTGGAATACGTAACAAACAAACAAATACTTATTTATATCAATGATTACACATTGGTAACGTGATAATGTATATTAACAAATCGTTGAAAATAAAACAAGAAATTACATATTATATGTGACAGTATATATTTTACATAAAATAATATTTTAACAGACTATTAAAAATGTGTTAAAAAAATATACACAACGGTTGGACATATTCTTAGGCGACCTAAATCGCCTAAGGGGCCAACTAGCCCTTATTTTACCTAAATTTAGTGTCATGTTGAAGTCTCATGCCAGCTTAGTATTTCACGTGGCTACAAAAGTTCAATTTTACTATTTTTGTGACCTTTTTAGTTTCAACCCTCAATGATTCTTTTATTCTCTTAATACATGCCTCAAATCCCGGAATTCGTAATTATGCTTGTTTAGGGAGCAAAATTAATCATTAAAAATTAATTACCGAAGTCAGACTTTACCTAGACCTCAGGTGTTGGTCCGAAGTCTCATGCCGAGTTCTCATGCCAACTCGGCTTTCCACCTGGTTACAAAAGTTCAGTTTCACTATTTTCGTTACTTTTCATTTTCAATCATCAATGATTTTGTGGTCTCTTTATATATGCCTCAAATCCCGAAATTGTAATTATACTTCTTGGTGGAGCAAAATTAATCCTCACAAATTTCTAGTCTCATGTATGAATTTATTTTTTTTATATTTTTTATTATTATTATTATTTTTCAATCTGATGCCAACTCAGCTTTTGACGTGGCTACAAAGGCTCGGTTTTACTTTTCATTTCAAACTTTATTCTATATTGTCTTAATACATGCCTCAAATCTCGGCGACCTAAACCGTGAAAATTGAATGACCCACAATGACAATGATGAGATATGGTATGTTGGTGGTTTCATTTTTTCGCGCCTTTAATTATGATGCCTTCTCATGCCTTTTTTGTGTGTGTGTGAATTGTAGACAGATATGATGGAGAGACAGACCTCTTTAGAAATCGTGTCTATACATGTGATGATGATAATTTATTTTGACTTATTTAGGTCTATAATTATATGACTTTATGTTTCTTAATCGATGAAAGTACAATTCTGTTACCTACTTTTGACCTAATGCATAAAAAAAATTCATCTTGATTTGAAATTATTTGCATTAGGTTTAGGTTATCCGAAACAAAGACCAAAGTTGAACATGTTTTGATCATTGGTCTTTGAAATGAAATGCTACATTAAACCTTTGGAAAAAGAAAATCCACGGAATCCAGGTAAAATATATACTATACTTTTTTCGGATAATGTAGTTGTTTGTCTGGATTGTGATCACATCTTAAACTACCGATTCAGTTATGTTACGTAATTGTGTGAATGCAATAAAATAGCTTTCTCTGTTCACAAAAGCGAAGTTTCCGGATGCAATAAAATAGTTCTATTTGTGAAGGGAAATAGGAAGCACCACTTGTATTTTTTTTTTTTTTTTTTTTTTTTTTGACCTTTTTAGTTATATCAGGTAAGTGATACACTCTTTCTTATCTAACTGACATTGTCTAACCAAGTCAGATTGGGAGAGTTTTGGCATTTGACGAATAACTAATTGATTTTCTTTCTTTCAGTTATTCTTTTCCCCCTTCCTAGCCTATTAATAATAAAACGGATTTTTTCAATGTAAATTATTTAATAATTTGGTTGGATTGAAACTAATACTTTTTTAAATTAGGGTTGATTTATTTAACAGAATATCTTACATCAACACGACACGATTATAATTCACGAACATAAATTGCCAACCTTAAAAAACGGCACTTGAATAATCAATCTGAACAGAGCTGCATCAATCAGTGGAGCAAAAATGGGTCTCCCCAACCCCCCCCCCCCCCCCCTTCCCTTTTTTTTTAAATTTTAGAATGAATGGTTTTTTTTAATTTTAGAATGAATGGTAAATTAGTCCCCCCCCCCCCCCCCCCTCCTCCTCTAGAATGAATGGTAAATTAGTTTAGAAATCCGTCTGCTTTAGGAATAAAAAGGGCTCAACAGTGATTTAAAGTTTTAAATAAAGTGAAACTAAAGTTATGGTCAAACACAAAGTCTTTAATCTGATTATATAATTCGCCAAATATATCTGTAACGTAGAAGAATCACCTAAAGACTAAAACCTCCACCAAAATGATGGAAATTTGTTGTCTTCACTACTTCGATAATATATAATGTTTGTCTCCTATCTCTAAATCCAACTAGATAAAACAGCTTGTCAAGACTAAGCTTGAGAAATCATGACATGTGACACTATATAACACGTACGTAAGGGTGCCAAGAGGAGATCGAGACACCACGATCTCTATCATATGTGTTCTCAATTATATTGGAGTATTAAATAGCATAATTATTAGCATATCATATCATGACAACTATTAATTGTAATGAACATATATATTATTCTCACAAAAATATTCTATTCTATAGCCATCATCTTCTACATTAGACTTAGGTCTCTGTCTTTAATTTTTGTCCCTTGAAACTGATGGCGGCCAAACTAAATTAGGGAACTTGTTTGTTGTGTCGTCCCACATGGGTTAAGATATTGCTACATCTACTAAATTATTTGTTATTTTCTGTCGAACTGGTGAAGTCGAAAGCGACAAAATTTAAGTCTTATACAGTGAAAACGAAAACGAAAACGAGAACATGTTTGGAGCGTGAAAGCGGAAGAACGGACGGAACACCATAGCAGCTACAACTATTAAATTATTTGTTTCTTTGTTTTCACGTGTCGTATGTTTCATTTGTTTCGAACTGATAAAGTCGAAAACGACAAAATTTAAGTCACACCGAAAACGAGAGCACGTTTGAAACATGAAGCGGACGGAGGACAGACGAGGCACGAGAGCGGCACTAGTCTAGACACAATGCCTTAATTAGATTAAAAAAAACACTAATCATCTGTGTGAGGGAGTGTTCAACTCCCATTTTGTTCACCCATGTGGGCGGCTCAAAATGAAAACATCCAAACTTTGGGGAAAAAATAATGAGAAGCCGCCACCATGTTGGATGAAACTCCATGAGAAAATGAGTTTATTCTTCGCATGTTCTATTTAATATCTTGCCACATCATCAAATTCAAATATTGTGATAGAGACACATCAAGAATGTTTGTTGCGAACTCGTGACCTTGTAGAGAGTGTGATTGAATCTAGAAAGGCAACAACTCAAGAATTATGTGAAATGAAAATGACTAATGAAGCTCTGAAAAATAAAGGATTGTGTTTTTCACCGTAAAGGCAGGTTTTCCAACCTGTTCTGGCTAGCCTGGCAAAGTGACTACACAACAATATGTTCATTGAAGTTTCGAGAAGAAGAAGAAGTGGTCCCGACTACGCCACACATTACCTTAGTTCAATCTAAACTAGGACACAATTGTTTTCAATCACTGGCTAATCTTATGTCTGGCTCCTCGTATCTTGTAATCAATGTTGTTCGAAACTCATTCAATGGAATTTTGATTGCATTTAGGTATCTCAACCACTTTTTCCCACCAAGTTAATGAAAAAAATGTACGGAGGGGCAGAAGCCCCAAAGGACCAAACAAAATCCAAGAGGCATACAAAGAGGCCGAGAGCCCAACCCAATATGAAACAAAAGAGGCTACTGAAAAAATAGCAATTTAAACAAGAAGCAATATGGATAGAGAAGAAATGGCTAGGCAGAGACCATGTCGCAACAGTTGGGATTTATATGCCCTAGCGTAGTAAATTCCTATTTGAATTAAAGTGACATATGTTCTTAACATATCTGAAATATTTATGCTTTATATAATTGGTGAATTCAATGTATTATGTTTCGATTCATTATGTAATTGATAGTGTCCACTTGATTACAAGAAATATTTATATATGTATGTGATGACGATCAATACATAAATATAAATAGTAATCATAAATAGTTCATAGTCGGTAATTATGGATGAACTCATTATTAATTAAGACTTGAACTGAATTCGGGTTAAGTTGAGATATATTGCGAGAGCCATCGTATACAATTTTTTCCTATCATTGTCATGGTATTTGACTCTTAAGCATGAGAGAAGTATATACACTTTTATTAATTAGTAATTATTTTGATTTGTTCAGCGGAATCTTCGAAATC